TGGGTTCTCTTGAAAATCCCCATATGTGGCCCAAGGCACATTGCAATGAGGACTATCACATCAGGGAGCCATTCAAAATGAGGAGCCCCACACGACGCTTTCCAGCCCACGTCCGCATTCAAGACCCATGCTTGCCGGCCGCAGGCCCCTCCACGACCAGCCCACGGCTGCCGACATTCTCTCAGCTACTCCGAGAGAGGTTCCAGGGCCTGCCTCACGGGGCACAGGGCAGCCACCTGAAGGGGTTTTTTGCACTGTGATGAGGATAGAAGGAGGTAAAAAGGGGAGAAAGAGAGCGCCACATGCCTGATGTTCCAGCAACATTTCACTGCAGCCTTGACAGTGTCATCAAGAGGTCACGCTCCCTGGGGGGACAAGATTATGACACTTCTCTATTCCTAGTGATCAAAGGAAAACCAATTCCTGTCACAAAACTTAGAGGGTAGGAAAAACACTAGTCTTGCCACAACTCGGCTCTGTCCATTCATTTATTCATTCAGAAACGCTGATGCAAGCCAATACGAGCCGGCCCCGGGTATGCAGAAACAAACAAATAGAAAGAATCCCTTCCCTCGAATTCATTGCCTCTGGGCAAGACAAATATTACCCAAATCATTACACGCTTCACTGTGAAAAGTGCTCCGTGGAGCGGCAGCAATAAGACCGGTGCTAAGCACGTCACTTAAGCAGGCTGGGTGTCCTTTTGCGTGTCTGTTAAATGCCAAGTGCTAACAGGAGCTACTCCCAGGTCATAGGATAATATTGTGTTTTCTTTTATTGCTGTCTCTTTATGCATTTTTCCTTGGAAGCTAGATAATTTAATAATTCAGACCATAGGTTTGGAGGAAAACCAGCTATCTGATCTTCAGCAATTTACCTAAACTCTCTGAGCCTCAGTTTCCACACTCTGAAACAAGGGTAATGACTATCCCCTCCTCACTGCGTGGCTGAGAGGATGAAACAGGATGAGAGTCCAGAGTGCTGCACGTTACAGAGTAGATACCCTGAAGATATGTTATGTCTACAAAAGATGACAACATGTCAATTACTAGTTGTTTTCTGTTTAATGCTCCAGGTAGTCCCCACTGCCGTAGCACCTGCAGTACAAGGACCCCATCATTGCAACTACCACTCTTCGCAGAGGACGGGTGTGCTCCGGGCCTCTTGTGGAGGACAACATAGTATTCTGCTTTGGAAAGCAGAGAATCATCCCAAAACAGCCTCTGATGTTTCTCTTCTGCGATGGTTCTCTAGCCCCCAATGTCTCTATTCCAAAGTATGTATGGAGGTGGGGTGTAGTTTGGGGTTCAGAGATCAGGATTGAGAAGAGAAGGGAGGTAACTGTTTCTTCCACCGCCCGACCCCATGCCCCCCAAACTCAAGCACTACCCAAGCCTGAGGTTGATTCATAACTACAAGTATCATCTCTGGTCACGAAACGATCCAGCCCTTTTGAAAATGCAGCCACAGAAGTTGACTTGCTGACCTCTCATGACAATGCATTCCACAGACTCCAGAGATGGCTTTTCAGCCTTTAAAATATGGTTAAGTAAATAAATAACTTACCAGCCCCAAATTCCTACACACCCCATTTCTTCCAACTTTTGTGAGGGTGACCTCTGGCAAAACTCAGTGAGAAGAAAAAGTGACCCAGTCTTACTCCTTTTCACATAAATATCAGGAGCTAGTCACCAGAATGCGTCCCAGACCATGTGCTGGAAAACACATCTGCCTGCAGCTGCGTGGGGCCCTTGTTGGTCCTTTGTCCCCTTCAGGAAGCAGGAATGTCCTAGAAGGAGGTGGTGAGGGCTACAAGGCCTCCAATTTCGAGCTAATTGGGACCTAGAAACATTATCTAAAATTTAAATAACAACATAAAATACTCTCACTTTAGTCTACTTCAGACATTTTTCAGCCATCCAAAAGGGTGGACCTCTTCTTTTCCTAACTCTACCGACAAAGAGAACGTTCTGTTACTGTTAACAGTACATTATCGTTCAGTGGATTGTCTATAGTCAAACTCATGTTTGAAGAGTCCACTTTAATATTGGCAGTCTCGACGAAAGCCCGTCCTGAGAGTGAAGGTTTTGCTGCAGCAGAGAAGTCGGTGGACTCCCCTGCCCTGCACGCGGGCCTGAGGCTTCGGCTGCGGCTCCCCTCCTCTCTGAATCTCAGTTCCTTCCTCTTTGGAAGAAAGATAAAACCTCAAACTTTTTTTATGGGAATTAAGTTAGGCAGGCTAAGGAGCTGGTTAAACACACACTAGAGCCACACGGCCTGGGTTCAAATCCCCTCTCTACCACTAATGACCGAGGAGCTTGGGGAGCTTATACAGCCTCTGTGTGCCTCAGTTTCCACAACTGTAAAGTGGGGTAGTCCTAGCCCCTTGCTCACATGCTTGTCGCAATGACTCGATTTCATCTATATAAAGCACTTAGAATGGTATCTGGCAGTCGGTAAGGCAAAAAAAGTCACAGTTATCATTGTTACTATTATTCTATTAATAGAGTTAAGAATTATTATTATTACTATTATTAATAATATGCTTGCATTGTGTCAACAGGTGTTTTAGCAGAAAACAAGGGAAATAGGAACTAACACTTATAATCATGTATTCTGTGAGCCAGTGAATTAAGGATTTCTTATTTAATCCTCACAAAACCCTGTAAGGTAGTTATACATTATGATCCATATTTAAAGCGGAGAAATTTGAAGCTCAAGTAGATTAAGAAAATTGCCCCAAATCACACGGTAGTTAGTAAAAAGGACAGGAATTATTTCTGCATTTAATGAAGAAATGTAATGAGCGCCACTAAATGCTAAGTGGGACGTGAAGAGCAGGAAATATGCAGAGGGGCGTGATGCTGTCCTAGGCCCGGGGGCCTGTGGAGACAGAGGGGCACTGAGTGCGCTGAGCCTGCGGGAGAGAGGCGGGCCAAGGGCCTGTGCAGGGGGTGGAGCAAGGAGAGTGGATCCACAGGCTGCCGTGGAGCCACAGACTTGGGAGGCGGCAGAGGGCGGCAGGATGCTGTGAGGGCTTCAGCAGCGAAGAGGGGCAGCAGGGTAATTCAGGGAAAGGGGACGCCAGGGGTAAGGTTCCAAAGAGAAAGACAGCGTGGTTCAAAATGGGGGGGCTAAGAAGTCAGGGCTGCTGAACCATCCCTCAAAATGTGTGGCAGGAGACCGGGGCTGGAGAGCAAGCCTGCAGATGCGGGAACCGGAGGCCGGGCTCCTGCTGTGGAAGCTTCGTCTGCAGGGAACAGACTTGGTCAGATTTGCGTGTTAAATTTTGCTGGCTGTGTGGAAGGCAGATCTGCAGTGTCTGAGAGGAAACAAGGAAACAGCGAAGAAAGCTGTGACAGTAATCCAGAGAGGTGCAGAGAGGGCCTGGACCACTTGGAAGAGGAGTCAGGGCTGAATCACAGGCATTGATCGTCTCCTCCAGGAGATGCTCAGGCGAGGAAAAGGAAGGAGTCATGCACAACTCCCAGGTTTCTAGCTTGGGGTCCCCGTGAATGGAAGTCTAACCAACTGAAAGCAAAGATGCGAGAGGTGGAGGAAGTCTGGGGGGAGGAGTTTTTAACGACGTGATCAAAAAAGGATTTTGGCACCCACAACTGAGCAGCAAGGACACACAAGCAAATGCAGCGGGATAGTGACGCTGTACCCAGATACCACACCACCTCCACACAGTGCGGCAGCCTCTGCTGGGCGTCTGCTCAGAGAGAACCAGGCCTGCCGGAGGGTGACGAGGAGAGCAGCCCCTGGGAGAGGCTGAGGAAGCAGCGGGCTTTATTTCCACGGAGTGAGAGTTCAAGAGAAGCCTGGGAGGAGTCTGGGCCGGGGCGCTTGCCTTTTGCCCTGTGAAGAAGGATGTGAGGAATAATCAGGCCCCAGTGTTCCGGGCACACTCTGGCATCACATAGCTTTACTGTGAACACCACTAGGGCCCTCTGAAAGAGTCTGAGGCCTGAAGGAGGAGCCCTTGTCCTATCTGGTCTGCAGCGATGAAGCCAGTGTCGGTGTAGTCCCTGCTGTGCTGTGTGGCAGCTCTGCTGTGCTGAAGACACAGACATGCAGAGTGAGCACTGGTGCAGGCAAGGCCGGCACCAGGGAGGAAAGCACCGCCTGCCCCCAAGCGCTCACGCTGTCAACTCCCACATCTGGAAGAGGAGCGCAGAGGCACAGGCTGCAGAAGCACAAAAGGGAACTGAAAACCAATCGTAATAATGGATCTCAACATTCTCATTCAGTTCAGCAAGTCTTGAGGTTTCTACCTCAGAAATACCTGGACTCCCTCTGCCCTCTCCCATCCTCCCTGTTCCTACCCTTCTCTCCCTGCACCACCGTGACAGGCTGCATCCAGCTCTCCCACTCAACCCTGCTCCCGACAGCCTCTCCACAGAGCCTCAGAGCGATCTTCTGAGATGGAAATCAGGTCATCTTACTCCCACGCAGGGCCAAGGCCAGAGGGAGCAGAGAGGGATTCGCTTTCATCCTCCCTCATGTGCAGGGTCTTTACTTAAAATTGCGATATTTGTTCATCATGGATTTTTGCATTCACTTACATTTTTAAAAATACAATTTATCTTGATTATTGGGTTTTTCAGCACCCCCTCGAACTTTGTGCCTTACTTTCCTGACACTGCTCCTAGGCCCTAAGTCCTCCAACTCTTCCCCGTGGCATTTAGAAACAACTCCTTCCTCTTGTCTTGGCCCCCGAGCCTAGGTGACTGGACACGTCGCCCCCTGAGCCATGCCCTGCAGCCACACTGCCTGTGTGTTTCCATGTTTCGTGCAACCCAAGCTCCCTCTGGCTTCAGGGCTCTGTACTTCCTGTCCCCTCATCCTTCAATGCTCTTTTTCCAAACGGCTGGCTCCTTTGAGTGACACTCAGATGTCATCCAAATAGCACCATTCAGAGGGGTCTTCCCTGACTGATCAATCCAAAGCGAAGCCCATCTGCCCTGTCAGTCCCTCCACGCCGTCCTGAGGTGTGTGACTCACGCTGCGTGGCACGAGCTGCCGTTACCCGGTCTGTTCATTTGCTCACCTGACTTTTCCTCCTTCCGCCTCTCCACCCTTGTGAGGCCTGTGAGAGGAAGATCTTTGACGTGGTTCACACTTTCTCCTGGGAGCTGGAACAAAATCTGGCACACAGCAGGAGCTCAAATATTTGTTGAATGAATGAACGTGCTACCACTACCAAGTATTTAGGTTACGAAATAATACAACTAGCTGCACAGTATTTATTGAAAGACTGGACATATTTTAAATGATAAATGTAATGCCTTTTTTTACCAAATAACTCAAAAAATGGGACAATTTTCCATTTTTTCCTGAAAGAAGTTCTCAGTGAAGAAGGATGGTCACCATAGAGAATCTGTGGAAGGGACTCCTTTGTTCCACGTGACGTTCAGACTTTCTCCACCTGTATATGTTGGAGACATCAAACACCCCTCTCTCCGCTGAAGAATTCAATTTCCTTAATAATAAACTTGAGGGAGTGAGTGATGATATTGACAGCTAGCATTTCAAGCAGTCCACAGCCACGGGCGACTGTCTCCAAGCCCTTGTCCGGCTCTAACATTTCAGGCCTCTCCAGTTCTTAGGTCACCCACTCCTGACTCATGCGGGTAACAGGCAGGTCCTGGGGTGGTCAGAAGAATCAGGTGGCAGCTGGTGCCTTCAAGTAAATCACCAAAGAAAGAAAGGCAGGACCAGACAGTTTTTATCACTCACAGAAAAATTCCCGTTACCAGCCCCCACATGAAAAACACAAACAAAATATTCCCTAGGTGATTAACTATCACCTTCCCATGAAATTTCATGAGCTTGCTATGTATGTGCTGAACGTAATCAAGGAGATTTTATTTATATTATTAAATCCTTATAACACCTCTGTGAGGTAGGTAACACAGGCCCACGATCCTTTATCCGCAATTACAAAAGCCAATTATCTCTGAAAACTGAAAGTTATTTTTTACCTCATTTGGTGGCAAAAAGTGGCCTGAATGAAATGACGTGAGTGTAATTACGATCTCCATTTAATCCCTACTGCAAATATTTATATGTGTTGTCACAGAAATAGGAAGGTGTTTGATTACAGGGTACTTCCAGGGTATTACATAATATATATGTATTACATTACTTTTATTCAGAAAAAATTCTAAGTACCTAAACACATTTGCCCCAAAGTTTCTAGATAATGAACTAGGTATTACCCTCAATTTTATAGGGGGAGAATGTTGAGGCTCAAATGTTAAAGTAATTTGCCCAAAGTCACTTAACTATAAAATGGTAGGGTCAGGATTTGAACAAAGACCTTTCGACCCCAATGTCATTTCCTACTCGTAAGCAGGTGATTTTCTAGAGAGGAAGACAAACATCTGTGTCACTAAGTGCAGCATAAAGGAGGTGAACGGGCACTCTACGAGGGGCGCAGGTAAAGCTCTGTTAGAATTCAAGGACAGAGATGGCTCCAGCTGGCTCCTTTGAGGAGAGCTTCTTGCTACTACTTTTCTTTTTCATAAATATCACTGCTGTCACAGCTCAAGGAGGTTTGGCCACCCGACATGCTGTTACTTCAGCAACCCAGAGCCTGGGGTGTATCTAATGACTGGTACCCAAAATGGAGCTGGACATTTGAGGTTTGGGTGGGCCGGGATGGAGGTAGCTGGGGAGACCAATCAGGTGGCAGAAGCCAGTCCTCACTGAAGACAACGGGGATGTACATACACAGTATCTAAAAATCACAGCACCGTTTCTTCAGGCAGCCTTCAGGGTCAGGAAGTCTAACACGGCAGCTGGAGCAGCAGAGGATCCAGAGAGCAACCTGAGCGCCAGGGAGGCTACTGCAGGCCTGCTGACTCACGGCAGGGCCACCGCCGCAGACGGAGCTCACCAGCTGTGAGAAGAAGCCACAGGCAGTTACGTGAGGTAAGGAGTTCTAGTCAAGATAACAGAGAAGCACAGCAAAGGAAAGCGCAATGGGCCCATAACTCAGGGGCTCAGAGGGACCCTAAAAGATGTTTTGGATTTAGGCCTGACACAGACATACCAGATCTGGATCTGATTGAAGACAGAGAATCAAGGACTTCTATTTTTGAAAAATGGTAGAGATCCTGAAATCCGCCAGCAATAAAACCGTTTAAAATATATGTATATAAATAGTGTAATGCATATTATCTATTATGTTACATATATAATAGATAATCGTATATTATGCTATATAATTACAACATATATAAGTTGTCTATGTAATTATATAGACCTATATTAGTCAGTTTTAGAAAATAAGCGACATACCCACAGATCAACTAAGAAGCTGAGGCTGAGACCAGAGAGATAAGAGAGTTCTCGTGTGGCCATTGTGTGAGACAGCAGCCAGGCTGGAGAGCCACCCGCACAGAGGTAGATTCACAAGGGGTAACTCCCTCAGGAAAATGTGACCCGAAGGAGAACCTGTCCGGCAATGGCAAGCCCAGAAGAAACTTTGGCTCTGGATACAGGTTAAAAAAACAAAATAACAAAAAATATTCTTCTGAGATTTCAAAATCCCAAATTGGCCACACACAGGAGTTTAGAGCTAGAAATCACACTATCTGTGTGGCCCAAAAAACCTACAAGAGAATTTCAGTTAAAGTGGACCTGGGTCTGTGGTGTCCCCAGGTACTTGGCAAAGACTATGGAAATCCACCCAGAAAAACAAACCTCAACCAGGTCCCAGAGAGCTCCCTCGGAGTCAGTGCCAACAAAGATGAACTCACACGAACTTACAATCCAAAGTCACAAAATGCACCAGGCGAGAAGTCCCCAGGAACAAGAGTCATCAGAAACAACAAATAATAGAACCAGACCTAGAAAGGCTTGGGACAATGGCATTATCAGATCCTAAATGAAAGATTAGAAGGTTTAATATTTTTGAACAAATGAAAGAATCAAAGCTATGAATAAGGAGGAAGAGACTACCCAAAATGAGAAAAAAAAAAAGGACCAGACAAATTTGAAAAAGTACCAAATAAAACTTCTGGTCATGGAAATAAAATAATTGTTACTTAAAACTCAGTGAAACCACAAGGATACAATCAGCCAAATCCTGAATGTGGGCAATTCCACTGGACAAATGACCTGTTTCTTTATAAAGTAAACAGCAAGGGGAAAACAAAAGGATGGAAACTGTTACAGAGCAAAAGAGATGGAAAAGCGAGGACCCTGATTCAAACAAGCCAAATCCAAAATATCGTTAAAAATGATAGAGAATTATTTGAAGGACAACAAATATCTATTTTCTGTTGACTCTGCTAAATTGGGCTTTGTCTTAGACTTGAAGCCCAGTATAAGAAACAGCCATATGGCGGCTCTGCACAGTTTGCCTGTAAGGACACCATCAGGGAAACGTCCACTCCTTTAGTCTGCTCTTAATAAAGACCTCCAGGGGGTGGTGGGGGTGGCCCGGTGGCGCGGTGGTTAAGTTCGCGAAGTTCTGCTTCTTGGCGGCCCAGGGTTCGCCAGTTTGGATCCTGGGTGCAGACATGGCACCGCTTGGCAAATGCCATGCTGTGGTAGCCGTCCCACATATAATGTAGAGGAAGATGGGCATGGATGTTAGCTCAGGGCCAGTCTTCCTCAGCAAAAAGAGGAGGATTGGCAGTAGTTAGCTCAGGGCTAATGTTCCTCAAAAAAAAAAAGAGACCCACGGGAGCATTTGCTTTCAAGTCTCCGTAGAAAAACCGTGCTTCTCCTAAACCGAGTCACTTTTACTTCAACGATACTACAACTCTTGAAACCATGTCTGCTCTTCTTTTTACTTGGGTCTTTGGGAGACGCAAAGTCAAATATGCAACCACCTCAAGCAGCCACACAGAACCACGTGAGACACACTCCTGTGTGCTATTCTATGCCATATTCGCTCTATTTGCCTTTCCCTGGATTCCTTTGAATCCAAGGATCCCTTCAAACCTCAGGGTTTAAATAAGGTTGTAATCTACGTCACAAGGACCTCAAGCTCTATATAAGTTTTTGGGGTGATTAGAGGTGATGCATATCATGTGCACCATAGACATTCAGCAAAAGCATTTCTGCGCTCAGCTTTTCATCTCAATTAAGCTATCGCTCCGTAAGGACACAGCTTGTATCTTTTCATCTTTATATCACACATAATGCCCTGCACATTTAAATGAGCTGATTAGGAGGGAGAGAACTGGAGCATCATTAAGACCCCACTCAATGGTGTAATACTCTGGCTTTACTGACAGGAACGAATCCTACATCCCATTCGCTGAAGCCAATGTTTGAATCTTTGCAGATTTTCATGATCTACTAAGACACAAAGTTCTGGAGATAGAGATAAATACCGACGGGAACTTGAGAGGTTACTACAGTGCATTGTACTCCTAGTTAGAGTGAAAATATAACCCGAATTAACATGGGAGATGCAAGTCAAGGCAAACCCATTTGACCCCCCTCCTCTTTTGAATCATTATTCGGTTCAAACTTTTTTTTGTTTGAAATTTTGTTCCAACTCTTACACGTTGTTCATCATGGATCACAGCACATTCTAATTTAGTATCCGACTCTATTTGAAATTCACACATCCCATTTTCGTTTGTATTAGCACAGTCTAAGGAAGACTAGAGGCTAAAGAGCAGAGACCCACATGACGGGACACCGGTCACAGGAGTCTCAGTCCCCAGGGACCCACAGCTGCAGGAGAGACGAGAGATGGGCTGAGCAGGAACGACACAGGACCAAGAGCAACAGCAACACCTGCATCGATTATATAATTTCAAAGAAAGACTTATTATTCTCCTTTTACAGGTGAGGACACCAAGGCTCTCTGAAGTGACTTAACTTCCTTGAGGTCCACACCTAGAAAGTGACTGACCCAGACTTTGAACCTACAGCCATCTAATTCTGAAGCTCCTTCCACACCACCTTGCAGTGGTGAGAAGTAGCACCAAGAAAGCATAAATAATGTGTTTGGGGGGTTGAAGGAAGGAGAACAACAGGAGAAAGAAAGAAAGAAAAGAAACTGATAGGACAGGAAAGTGGTATTTATTGAGCAACTACTGTGAGCCAAGCCCCTTAACATGCATTATCTTAAGTCACACAGCCAATCTGTGTGGTAGGACATTTTTATCCACAGACAAGATGAGTCTCAGAAAAGAATGACACCTCCGAGGTCACATAGCCAGAAAATACACAGCTAGGAATAAAATTCACATCTTGTGACCCAAAGTCAGGGACTCCAAAGGCCATTTCTCAAACACAAAGTACTTTTTATCCTCCTATTTCTTTTGGTTTCTCTTTACATCTATCTGACCAAATCTCAAGAACCAGGCCAGCGAGGGGCCGGGACTGGGCTACAGGCCATGCGAGCTCCCCGGGGCGGCGGGGCCAGGGTGACCAACCATGCTGTCTCCTCAGAGCTGAGGCGTTTCCAGGACACAGGACTTTCAGTGCTGAAATTGGGACAATTCCGGGCAGATACTGATAGGAGAACTCAGTGGCTCTGCCAAAGAGGGATCCGTCACCCTGGGGTTAATAATTCCACGCAGAGGCGGCCTTGACCAGACAGCCAAGCAGCAGGGTGCACGCCTGGAAGGGCAGGCATGGGGTTTCAGGAAGCAGCCCGGTGAGCACAGCCCATCTAAGATGATGTTCTTAAACTACGCCAAGAATGTCTTTCTGGATTTGAAAAGGATTCTTACAGCACCACAGCCATCCTGATGAACATCTAACTCTACCAGTCTGTCCAGGGCAAAGCGTTTCTTCCCTTTGCCCCACAACCATCTACACAGCATAATTTTGAAATTGATAGTTTGCAACTCTGGCTTCTCTCCTCACCCTAAGCTCTGACACTCTCTTTGGTGTCTTTACCCCACTGTTTTAGGCAATCAGCATTCTGAATTTTGTCCATCTTATCAAAATCTGGAAAGGCTCTGCAATCGTTCATTGAATCCACTAGTGTGAATTAAAGCCAAAGTGTCGCTTCTCCCAGGAGTATTTTCATCTTGCTGCATTCTACATTTCCAACTGTGGAGTGACTCGCTCTCCTAGCAGCTTCAGAGAGTGCGGGAAGGTCGTGGGGTGTGTGAGGGAGCAGACAGCTCTGCCTCACCTTCCCCACCACCACCCTACACGCAGGTGACACTGGACAAGTAAATCTAATTCAGAATCACAAGCAACTCGTTGAAAAAATGGGTAAGACTTGCCCTCTTTTGAAATTTTATTTACTTGATTTATTTTTTTCTAGAAATACAATGATAAAAGTTTTTTTCTCTCTCTCTTTTTTTTTCTAGGAAGATTAGCCCTGAGCTAACTACTGCCAGTCCTCCTCTTTTTGCTGAGGAAGACTGGCCCTGAGCTAACATCCATGCCCATCTTCCTCTACTTTATATGTGGGATGCCTACCACAGCATGGCATGCCAAGTGGTGCTATGTCTGCACCCGGGATCCCAACTGGCGAACCCCAGGCCACTGAGATGAGGAACATGCGAACTTAACCGCTGTGCCACTGGGCCAGCCCCACAATGATAAAAGTTTTTAAAAGTTGTTTCCTGAGTCCAAGAGACATCTCTCTTCTGATAGTTTACTGAAAACATGGATTACATTTTGCTCTGGGATGAAGGTTGCCAGGAGCCCTTGCAGTCGGCCACTTCAGGAAATGATTCTTCACCCCTTCTGAGCATGGAGGCATTCAAAGGCCCATTTCTCCAGCCAGACAACTCTCAGACAGAGTCCCAAGCAGCTTGGAAATCCTCTACTGATTGAGAGTACAGCCCACCCAGGGCGGTTCTTCCCAGAGTGGCTGGAAGATGGTTCTAGTAAAGGAGGTGGAACAGGATGGCAGAGGGTTGTTGCAATTTTCTTCATATTACATTTTTAAACTTTTTATTGAAGTATCATCTATGCATAGAGAACTACACAAATCATAAATACATAGCTCATATTTTTTTTCAAAAACTGAACACACTCATGTAACCAGCACCCAGATCAAGAAACAAAATATTACCAGTACTTCACTAGCTATCCAGATAAAACATTATCTTGACTCCTAAAACTATAGCTTAGTTGTTCCTGTTTTTGAAATCATATTAATAAAATCATTCACTAAGTATCCTTCTCCAGCTGGCTTCTTTCACTCTGCATTATCTTTGTGAGATATTGTTGCATGTAGCACTAGTGTGTTCATTCTCATTGCCGTCTGTGCCTTTGAATGAATATACCACAATTTATTTTCCATTCTATTGCTGATGGCCATTTGAGTAGTTTCTAGCCTGAGGCGACTACAAATAATGCCGCTCTGAACTTTCATAGACCTGCCTTTTGGTGAGCACCTGGTTATATGTGCCTAGGGGTAAAGCTGCAGGGTCACGGGATGCATGAAAATGCTCAGCTTCAATAAATATTGCCAAACAGTTCTCAAAACCATAGCCATTTCGAGAGAGAGCACAGTTGATAATGGAGTCACAGAGTGAGAAGAAATTCTGGAAATCCAGAAAGCACATCCCCGGGCCTCTGGCTGGCTTACATTCCCATCGACTCCACTGGGCACAAACCTCTTAATATAGAATGTACATATCCTCTTTTCCGTACCCCTTTCACTAATCGTAACGTGGTAAAAGCAGCCATGGGGTGACCCCAGGGTCAGGACCCTGACTTTAAACTTACAAGCCCCCTAAACTCCTGGCTCCAAGCTGGCCGAGCATGGCAACAGTTCAGAGTGCACTTTTTGAGTGCAAAGACCTGGGCTCAGTCATCTACTAGCAATCATTTAGCTTCTCTGAGCCTCAGTTTCCTTATCTGTAAATTGGCAATTATATAAAGGCACTTGCCCAGAGCTTGTCACAAAAGAGATTATATTAGTTACCTAGAGCTGCTGTAACAAGTACCACAAACTAGCTGGCTGTCCCAGCACTGGAGACCAGCAGTTAGAAATCCAGGTGTCCGCAGGGCTGGCTCCTTCTAGAGCCTCTGAGGGAGTGTCTGTTCCACGACTCTCTCCTCGCTCCTGGTGGCTGCTGGCGACCCTTGGCGCTTCTTGGCTTCCAGCTGCTTCCCTTGGCCTTTACATGGGCTTCTTCCCTGTGTGTCTCTCTCGTGTGTCCACCCTACTCTGATATGACCTCATCTTAATCTAACTAATTATATCTGCAAAGACCCTATTTCCAAATCACGTCATGTTCTGAGGTTCTGGGTGGACGTGAATTTTGGAGAGACACTATTCCACCCAGTACAGAGGCATTCAATAAATAGTCCTTGTTATTATGTACTAGTTTTATTATTTGACTGACTAGTTGATGGATAGATGAACCTTTCCTTCATTAACTCAACAAATATTTATTGAGCGTCTACTATGTAAGAGGTACAGTTATACGTACTGGTGGTGCAGTCTTTGCTCTCATGAAGGTCACATGCTAAGGGAGTGAGCAGGGGATAAACAAATCTATAATAATCATATAACTTGTCAGATGGAGATGGTAAGAAGCAAAGGGAAGCAGGAACAGTCTTGTGTGTGACCTTCAGCTCTGGGGACTTGTCGTTGTTATTGTCTCAGCCCTTTGTTGTGTTCTTTGCAAAGTACGACATGAATTTTTCTCTCTAAAATCAGAACAGCCACTCCAGATAGCATTTTCCACTACAGTGGACAAGTTAATCTTGATTATCCCATAAACTGGAGACTTGTATAACTGAGGAAATTGTTCCAAATGAAAGAAGAGCTCACAGGGTAGGAGGTAAATTGAATTCCACACGTGATAATAAGAGAGAGCAAAAAGAGGGCAGTGATGCATCAGGCCGCGTGAATCATCTACTATAAATCCAGATGTTTGCAAAATGAAAAACAGGCCAAGTCCATGACCTTGTGAACTGATGTAAGCACTGGTTAAAATACGATGGGAGAATAAATATCATGGAATGTTTTTTTAAAAAAGTCATGAAAAGGCCATTTACCTATCTATCACCTAAAAACATGTAGTAGATACAAAAGTATTTAAAAATTTACTTTGAACTACCATCAAACTAAACTTTTTAGCAACCAAAGTTTCAATTATCATCAGTAGCACAGCATGAGTGACTTGTTATATCATCGTGGAGAGAAAAACACTTTGTTAAGCTCATTTCCAAGGAAATGAAACGCTTTTCAGACATGTCATTAACACTCATAAAATCCTGTGGAGCCAAGCGGAGGGCAAATGTGATTTTTCAGAATGATCACAGACCATCAGCAGAAGGAAATTTCATTTAATTGTCTGAGTATTTATTTACTTATTTATACTTCAAGGAACCGATTTAAGGAAGGAGACTGTGGTAATCTGTATTATTAAGATACATATCAAACAACAGAGAAGGAACCTACAGTTAAAAAAAAATAACTAAAGTGGACATGGAGAAAAACCTGTCACAGACATGAAGAATGAATCCATCAGAGACATGGAGAATGAACCCATCAGAGACTGGAGAATGAACCATCACAACACAGAGAATGAACCATCACAGACGTGGAGAACCAACCCATCACAGATGCGGAGAACCAACCCATCACAGACGCGGAGAATGAACCCATCACAGACGCGGAGAATGAACCCATCACAGACGCAGAGAATGAACCCATCACAGACATGAAGACTGAACCCATCACAGACGTGGAGACTGAACCCATCAGAAACATGGAGAATGAACCCATCAGAGACATGGAGAATGAACCCATCAGAGACATGGAGAACGAACCCATCACAGACTGGAGAATGAACCATCACAGACACAGAGAATGAAACCATCACAGACGTGGAGACTGAACCCATCAGAAACATGGAGAATGAACCCATCACAGACGTGGAGAACGAAACCATCACAGACATGGAGAATGAACCCATCACACACAGAAGCAAAGCAGCAACAAAGTGGGAACTGTTTGCCCCTGTAATTCACGAAGCAAAGAATCCTGAACCCCCAGGGCCCCTCCTGAGTCTGTAGTAACCCAGAATTCATTTCCACGCTGTCCCAGAACATTGCTGGTTCCCCCATACTCCACCTCAACCTCATCTGCTCCAACCCCTCTCCAACACCCCACATTCCCCTTCATATTTTCAAATTCCTCATTACTGGATGTTTAAACCACTATTCTTATCCTCTTCCCATCGCTACCATTTTCTGGGAGACAACATCCCCACCTACCATGCAGTCCCACCTGGTACTTCTGTCTTCATTCTTTGCATTGTATCCCCCTGCCTCCAGTCTGCTTCCCCTGCTCATTGTCTTACAAGAATTTCCCATACCTACTCAAAAAAGGCAGAGATCTTCTTGGATGGGTAAAGAGCAGCAACAACAGTAAAGTTTTCATGGCTTTTTTGCCTATGGTAGGTAGAACTATGAAAGAGCCTGTGAGGCCCTGAAAGATAATTCTGCGTTCTGCAGTGTGTTCATTCATGGAATCACTCATTAAGTAGATGTTTACTGAGCAGTGCTGGGTGAGAAATTACCTCGACACAATGTACGCTACCTCCAAGTACACTACCAGGCAAGCTCTCCCAGGGGTCACGGGACAGAAAGCTTCTCAGGCTACATTAATATGTTTGAATCACGTGTTCATCAAGTGAATTTAAAGCACACAGCGACAAACAAGAGAAAAAAATGTGGTGTAAGTTATCACACTTAGGCTAGAGTGCAAGCAGGTGGAAGAAATCACACACCCTCAACTCTAGGTTCCGCCCTCCCCAGGGATGGTGTTGTCTGAGGACCAGAGTTAGGTAAGGGCAAGACAGACCAACAAGTCAAGGGCACATGCCTGCTCTCTCCAGGCAATTCCATCTGACCCTAGCTGTAGTTCGGCACTCAGCCTGCTGAGCAGCCATGGATTATATTCGCATTTCCTGGGTAGAGGACACACAGGGCTAAAATGGGGCCGTCAATGGGTATCGAAATTCAGACCTCATAAGTATTCAGCACCTCATGCGTATTTCGTGTATGGTGAATATTTACTAACTACTTGGTCCTTCCATCCCTTTCTGTCTACGTTCACACATATATGCTCTACTTAAGTGATTTGTGGAACAGGTTGCTCACCCTCTGTGCTTAACACGCCTTGATGCGTTTCATCCATTCTATTTGTTTTCTTCCACAGCAGAAAGGAACGTTCTCAAACAATACAGCACAATGCACATTAGCGGCAGCTCCCGTGTTCCAAGCTCCGGGGGCAGGAGGACAAGGCACAGAGCGGCGAGCAAGCAAGCGCGGGAGTGAGGCTGCAAGAAGCAGGCGGCAGACACCCTGCGGGGTTGCCACGTGAGGAAGGCCCTGCCCCGGGAAGCAGACGGGCCTGGCGCGCAGACCGAGGAGGGCCGACGAGCCCGGGCGCGGAGGGGCCCGGGCGGCGCCTGCGGGAAGCCGGAGGCGCGGAGGGGGCGTCTCGGCCCGCGCGTGCCCGCGTCTGTGCGGCGGGACGGCCGCAGGGCAGCCCTGGCAGCGGCTGGTGCATGAGCCCCCCAGCGGCGGGCGGTGTTCGACGCCGTGTCACCCTGCGGGACGAGGCCTGTTTGGTGTCTGCGGACACAGGGGGTCTCTGGGCTCAGCCCTGATTTCACAAGGGGGCCCCTTTGCTCCGTTCATCACAGATAAACAAGCCCCTTTCTGGGCCCCTTTTCAACCAGAGCAGATGAGGTTGTATTTATATTTGTGATAAAAGGGGAAAACATAGCCCAGTTTCTTTAAATATCCGCTGATAGACTCACAGGAAACTAACTGGTCAACTTCCTGATTCCCAACCTATAAACTGGGGGCAGAGGGGAAGCTGTAGGAAAGAAAGAAAAGAAATATCTGTGAATTATAAACTGCACTCTTCCTAGTTCTTCAGGCAAGTTTAAATTACAATGAGCTTCCGTTCTCTTATTCATTCACTCAACAAACATTCTTGGAGCCCCTAATGTGTAGGCAGCACATGTGTTTCACACAATGATTCACCATCAGGCCAGGTAGTGTTCCTATGACACAGTTTAATTAAATCAGAGATGGATTTACCCTAAATTAATAAAGCTTAAGCCTGAGGGCACCTCCCTGGAATAGGTATTTCTAAGACCCTAGGAAGGGACTTAGCAAAGAGTTTACATATTTGTATGTTTTATGTAACATTCAAATGTATAAAATTTTAATTGCAATTGGCAAAACCCCATTTTATACTTCCATTTCTGCTTTCTTTCAGCCACACTTCCCCTTGGGTTGGGTGGCTTTGGAGTGGCTACAGGCATTTTGGGGATCTGGCTAAGAAGTCAAATTGGAGTACATCTATGTTTAGCAGGATATATGTGTGTCGTTCATAGTCATTGCCCATGGACGGTTGTCATTACTTGCCATCCCAGTGTAGGACCTAATCCCAGGAATGCCCCTCCACCCGTTGTGCAGACTCGCCCAGCGTTAAGACAGTGGTACAGGCCAAACGTCATATCATGATCTCAGTGTGCCCTACTGAACCCCATACCCAAAGTATATGGGTAATGGGAGAAAGAAGATTTGAAATGAAAGGGGCCAGAAGCTAGTCTATGGAAAATTTTTCCGGTCGTCAGATGTATAAAACTGGGTCCCTTAGTTAGGGAGGAGACATGGAAAGCCCCAGAGGATGAATCACTGGCCGGGTGTGCCAGGCCTACCTTTGGAGTGCTAGAAAACCAGGGGCAATGTGGACCTTCCAAGTGAGAGGAAGGAAAGAGCCATTAAACGGAGAGAGCATGGAGAGAGGAGGGAAAAGATGGCTTTGCTCACCTGGAGAATTTTATGCTCTTGCTGAGCTAAATGACACAAGGTAGCCTTGGCATGTAGGGTTCTCTTTAGTCCTAAGATAGGATTCTTGACACAAAATTTTGCCCAGTAGTTGGAGCTACATGTATACAGGGCAGTACTCCAGACTGTGAGCTCCTCCCTTGATCATCATTCATATCTGCAGCTCTGAGTTATTTGCATCAGTCTTTGGTGCCCTACTTCCTTAGCTGTGAAACCAGGAGAAGATGAGTCTCTGGCCTCAATTCCAGAGTAGTATGGTCTGAATGCCACAGCTTACTTTTATAAGCGAGTCTCTCAAGGTGTGTCTACAACTTTGTGGACAAAGGACCCACCTCTGCCTGCCCCTAGGAAGGAGGCAACTACCTTCCTATTCAGGATACATTAACACAGGGTCCTCTCCACTCAGCCCTCAGCCTAGACTCCTCTCCATCAGAAGACAAAGTGGTGGCAACACCCAGTTTCCAGGCTACTCTGAAAAGTTCAGTCCATCTGTGCTCCAAACACATTGGGTTCCAGAGCTGTTACCAGCCAACAGCTGCAGGCCTCCTGACTCATAATTGGAAAATGTTATTCATGCAGCTATGATGTGTATGCCTCAGAGGTCTCAGGGAAACATATACAAATGAGGAGGAAGAACAATCTAAGAGACTCGAGACATAAAAAAGCACAAAATCACCACAGTGTCTGTAGATTATTGTCCTAGATGGATGATGATGCTTGATGGATTTCTTCCATGTTTTCAGTCTCATTCTGATGTACAGCCCTACTGCAGGCAGTTCCTTACACATCGATCGGTGTCCTTTAGGAAGAGATGCTTAGGGCAGAAAGCCTGAACTAGCTTAACCAATAAGGAATTAATCATCTCACACAACAAGAAGTCAGAGATAGGGTGCTTCTAGGGCTGGTTAATTCAGAAACTCAACGATTTTTCCCACTCCACTACCCTCAGTGTGTAGTGTGACCTTCCAGGTTGGCTCCCCATCATGGTACCAGGATGCTGCTGCAGCTTCAGATAATACATGAAGACCTTGTCGGAGGGCAGAAAAGGGCCTGCTTCCTCTCACAGGAAGCTTTTTTAAAAGTCAGGTTTATAGATATATAAGTAAGATGTGTAAGATACATACAGTAAAGTTTACTATTTTTTAGTGTACAATGTGATGAGTTCGACAAATGTATACAGTCACATAATTAAGGTGTGGAACATTTCCATCACGCCAAAAAGTTCCTCTTGTCCATTTGTAGTCAAAATCCCCTCCCTCCACCCCAGCATCTGGCAACGACTAATCTCATCTCTGTCCCTATAATTTGCCTTTGCAAGGATGTGATATAAATGGAATCATCCGTTAGCGTAGACATTTGTGTCTGGCTTCTTTCGCTAGGCACAATGCATTTGAGATCCACCCATGCTGTTACATAGATCAGCAGTCTGTTCTCTTTTATTGCTGAGAGGTATTCCATTGTATAGATGTACTGTAATCTGTTCATCCATTCATGAGTTAAGGGACATTTGGGCTGTTTCCAGCTTTAGCCGTTATGAATAAAGCTGCTGCAAACATTCACGGACAGGTCTGTGTGGATGTATGTTTTCGTTTCCCTCGAGTACATTTTTAGGAGTGAGATTGCTGAGTTAGAAGGTTAACATACATTGCTTTTTAAGAGCAAGGAAACTTTTCCCAGAAGTTCCTCTCTGTCTTGTTGGTTAGAATTTGTCACATGTCCCTGCCTAAACCAATCTCTGGCAGAAAGAGCAGAAAGAAACTAGTCAAAGTCCACTCTCATGGCTATGGAGAAAGGACACTCTCCCTGACCAGAGAGCTTCCTATGGAAACAAAATCCAGGCCGTTCCAGCAGGAAAGAAGAGATGGCTAGGTTTAGGCAGGCAACCAATGGTGACCCACCCAGGAACCGCCCTACCTCTGGACTTCTTATGTTAGATAATTAGTTCCTTATTTTGTAAGCCACTTCAATCAGATTTTCTGCATCTCAGCATCTGAAATGACCTGTGTGTGACTGCGGGCAGCAGTTTTACCAATCGGAGGGGCCTGTGAGGACTAGCCCCTCGTGACCATGGGGTCCTGGCCAGGCTGATTGGATCACATGCTGGTCGGTGGCCCGCAAGGGGCTCACTGAGGTTTTGCACTCTGGATCTGGCTGAACCAATCACATAGTCTCTGGCAGAGTTCAAGCTCAAGACACAGGCAAAGAGACAGTAAGAAGAAGAATGACAGCAGAATGAAGAGACAGGCACAGAGAAAGGAAGCCACGAATGAGGGAAGAGGAGGAGATGGGTGCCATGTCAGAGGGGGAAAGTGGCCCAGAATGATGGCAGAAGCAGCAGCAGAGATCAGCTGAATCATCCGGCGGACCCAGTCACCGAATGAGGAGCGCTGGCCGTCACTCCTGGGAGAGGGTCAGAGGCCCACTGCCGCAGCGGCCGTGTATCTGGAACAGTCCTCTGTTTTTTGCTGAGACTGCCAGGATGATTGCCAGTGTCTGTGCTTTCCCCAAGTGTCCACTCACAGAACCTGCCACCCCGAATCACCTGAGGTGACCAGGACCAGCCCTGTCCTTTACCCCAGAGCTCACTCACTTCACAGTGCACCTGCATGTGTCCCTGGAGGCCAAAGCATACGAGGAAAACCTGGTCACAAAGGCAGCAACAGCTGCCCCGTTCTGAGCACCGTCAGCTCCCTCAGAAGGGCAGAGACCATGTGTCAGTACAAATGGCGTTCTCTGAGGGCTCACTCTGAGCTGGGCACCATATTAAGCAGCTCACGTGGGTTAACTCATCAAACCCTAAAACGCTATGAGATAGGTACAATTCTTTTTTCCACTTTACAGATGAGGAAACTGAGGCCCAGCATAGAGTAATCTGCCCAGTGTTCACAGCCAGGAAGTGGCAGAGCCTTGTCCTGAAGTGAGCACCTCCCACTGTCAACCTAGGACCAGGGACCCTGATGGGGACTGAGCATGGAGAAGTGGCAGGGAAGGCAGAAGAGCACGTCAGTCGCACTGGAGGCTGAGGAGGACCCTTGCCTGGTGAGGAACTCCAGTAGCAGGATTGTAGGCAGCCCAAGCTACACACAGGCACACACATTTCCAGCCCTCCAGCCCAAGAAAGATGTCTCCCACTTCAAAGTTCTGGCCCAAGCGTTGAATTGGACCTCAGGACAAGAGGAAGCCAGCAATTTAGACTCAAGAACTTATTCTCTGAGGCCTTATGACTCAGAGTGTGCACTGTGGACCAGCGGCATGGGCATCAGCTGGATGCCTGCTGGATGTGCAGGGTCTCAGGCCCACCTAAGACGCAGCGAGTCTACACGTGTATTTTACAAGACCCGCAGGTGATACGTGTGTACTTGAAATTCTGAGATGCTCAGCTCTGAAGAGACCCGGAGTCTTTGGAACAGAGATGGGAGTAGGGAAAAGAAGAGGAGCCAGACCTGCCTTTATTCTTCCCTGGTCCAAACCTGACTGGCCAATATATTTTTGAGACCTTGTATTTAACGGCGTCAGGGTGTACCCACCTCCGCACTGTGGGGTTGGTATTTTTAATACCTGTTTAACAACAAAAACAGGAATTATTTTTGTCCTTATGAATTGCTTTCCTGAATCGCCTGTATGTGTCTCATCTATTCTCCTTGACTGTGTGTGTTTTTGTCTGTGGAAAAAGCGGGGCTTAAAAGTCGGAAGGAAGGGATCAGATTCCCTATCCTCTTGCCAACCAAGAGCATATTTACTAGTCTCTTCCATCCTTTAAACATTAAATGATGTCTGTGAAGCACCCACGTGGGCTGGAGCTTTTCTCAGTGCTTGGGGTTGCCAGGTAGCCAACATAATGGCATCACCGTTTATTTGCACTTTCT